GCCTGCTGTGTTCATCCAGCCCTGCACCTTGTTGTCCCATAAATATGGTGTCTGGTTCAGTATGAGACTGGGTTTGCTGCATTTTCACTGAGCATTAGAATGATGTTTTCATCCATCATTCCAACTTCTTCTTTTAGAGGGTACAGGATGTGCAGTTTTAGGTGGATATTCTGCAGGATAGGATAAAAATAGCTTAACTGGGTCTAGAACAAAGGTTTAGTCATAATTCATCTGTGGTTGAGTCCAAGGCCTGAAATTGGAACATAGCTGTACATTAATACTGTTTATAGTGTTCATTAAGGCAACACTGGAAGATTTCAATCTGATCTGAAAAAAATGGGGGGGCGAAGAAAGTGCCTAAGAAAAGTTTACTAGATGATTAAAGGGACCGTATAAAAAAAAAAGGGGCAGTTAAAGAAGTAGAAGCTTATGGCTACCCTGACCCTTCCCTTATAAAAAGGATATTTTGTGGATTCAGAGGGAGCTTTGGAGGGGTAATAACTGAGTTTTTGTATCCATCATCAATAGAGTGGATTCTGCCTGTGTCACTGTAAAGGAGGAGTTTATAGCAATTATTTAGTATACAGTTGGTTTGGTTGTGCTATAGATAATTCATATTGTCTATGTGGGTTTCCAAATGTTCTGCAAAACAGGCTTGGTAAAAGTAAAGCCTATGGAATTGAAGGAGCAGTTACAACTTCAAAATGAAGTTGACTGTTTCAGAAAGTCATGGTGAATGGTTATTTGGGAGACTGGAAGGAAATACATAGTGATGTCCCCACAGTCAGTATATCAACCACTTATCTTTTTGATAAATGTTAATTTTCTGAACTTGAGTAGAAAGATATTATTTAAACATTTGCAGATAACACAGTACTTAGATATGTAGTCAGTAGTGAGGGGAATAGTAACAGACTTTGGGCAAATATGGGGAGATTGGTGAAATTGTCAGACACAAGGCAAATTTACTTTATTGCAACTTAGCACTAATACAAGGAAGTGATGTATCTTGGAAAGAACTTTGAAAAGCTTTGATATAAATGAAAAACTAATCTTAAAGTGTTGCAGGGCAAATAAGAGCATGTAAATACCAAAATATTGCAAGATGATTTGATAAAGCTTTTAAGATCCTGTGGCTTTTAGACTAAATCTTTTTTTAATTATTAGTAGGTCTCAGCTGGACTATAGTGTACATTTCTGTACACAATGGGCCAAATAGCCTTCACCTTAGAAAAGTTCTATGATTCAGCTCTAAGTTCAGTTTAATCACTGATTACATCAAGCTTAAGGCTGAATGTTCAGTTCTTTTCAGTGCATTTCAGATTTATTCATGAACTGTTTGATAGCTTCTTTTTACAGCCTGGTTTCTAGGGTGCTTTGGTAATAAAATTGAATTCTGGCTTCCTCATCCTGGAATAAATGGATGTTCAGCATTTTTAGAACATAACCACAGCAAATGCCAAATTCACTTATTTCTCTGACAGCTCGCTATACTGTGCGCTCGTTTGGTATTAGAAGAAATGAGAAGATTGCTGTTCATTGCACAATCCGAGGAGCCAAAGCTGAGGAAATTCTAGAGAAAGGTCTAAAGGTGAGTTGATTGTAAATTGATGTGTATTTTTGATGGATATGACTAAATTCAACTGCTTGGTTAGTTGGAGGAGGGAGAAGCAAAGGCATTGAGTAAAACAACTACTTACTATTGTGGGAGAATAATGATTCATTAGGACTACATCCTTTTTTAATGCGTTAAACTGTTTTCAGCTGGAAGTGTTCTGGGGCTGGGATGTGTGTGGGCAGAGCACATTGTGACTTCACCATTGGAAAGCAAGTTTAAATCCAGCCCAGAGCAACCAACAAAACATTTCACTGCAACTAATGATCTTGTAGTTAATAAATGATGTATTTTGGTGCAATCTTGATAATTGTTGATGCGGCAAGTGGGAGAAGAGAAAATGACTCATTAGGATATCTTAGTCTGAAGTTTACACTGGGGTCCTGTTGAACACAATGTTCAGTCTTCCTCCTCTATGACAATTTTTCTCACATTCCACCCCAATTTCTAAGTCTTTTAAAATGTTGATTCCCACCAAGGTACTATTGCAAACAGCACCTTATAACTTGCTCAAAGTGGGCCATTTTATGTTGACTTCACTTGCCTGAGCAGTGAGCAGATTGGGTGTTTCATTCTGGAAGGCGTCATGCCAGTCTTACTGTGTCCTCCACTACCTTTCTCACATTTTCACTTGTTTATCCACTTAGCTGTCAAATGGAATCAACAAGAGATCCTGGCTGACTTGCCTTCTCCGCCTTTCCCCACCACACAGGAAACTAGTGCTGCTGATAGTCTTTGCACAGTTGAGAAGTGTGGATCAGAGGCTGCATCTAGGATCTAACATGGAATTGTGGCTTAGTACTAATTGGACACTGTGTATTTAGCTGTTAGACCTCTGGATAGACATATGTAAAGGGAGGTTTTCTGGGCCTCTGGCCGTGTATTACACAGGTTGTGAGCTTTTGATATTGATACTTGGGCAGGAGAAGTTAGTGATCCATTTCCCAGCTCCAAAGTTGCTCACTGCAAATTGATTAAAACATTGCATCAGATCTGTATTACTGTAACAATCTTTTTATTCAGGTTCGGGAGTATGAACTGAGAAAGAGTAACTTCTGCAACACAGGAAATTTTGGCTTTGGTATCCAGGAGCACATTGATCTGGGCATAAAGTACGATCCCAGTATTGGAATTTATGGTCTGGATTTCTATGTGGTAAGTCAGTGGCTCTCAATTTTTTTTTAGTATCAAGGTGTACTTCAATGAGACAAACATTTCCATGGCATGCCTGTTTGTCAGCTAAATTGATTTCTCATAAGTGGCACGTTTATTCACGTTTACTATGGTTATGGCCTTACCAGAGAGGTTTGCAACACAGTGCATAGAACAAGCAAAGGAAAGATCAAAAGTATTAATATTTCACATCTCAGTAAAAATACTGTGGGTGCAGCCACATTTGTAAAATTGCCTTAACTACTGGCCATTTGATACAGAACTGGCTCAAAGGTGGAGACAGAGAGTGGTGGTAGAGGCTTGCTTTTCAGACTGGAGGCTTGTGACCACTGGTGTGCACAAGGATTGGTGCTGGGTCCACTGCTTTTCATCATTTATATAAATGACTTGGATGTGAACATAAGAGGAATGGTTAGTAATTTTGCAGTTGACACCAAAATGTCGTGTTGTGGACAGCGAAGAAGGTTACCTCATGGGATCTTGATCAAATGGGCTCAGGAGTGGCAGATGGAGTTTAATTTAGATACATGTGAGGTGCTGCATTTTTGGAAAGAAATATCAGGGCAGGACTTATGCTCTTAATTGTAAGGTTCTGGAGAGTGTTATTGAACTAGGGGTGGCACGGTGGCTCAGTGGTTAGCACTGCTGCCTCACAGCACCAGTGACCCGGGTTCGATTCCAGCCTCGGGCAACTGTCTGTGTGGAGTGTGCACATTCTCCCCACGTCTGCGTGGGTTTCCTCCCACAGTCCAAAGATGTGCAAGCTAGGTGGGTTGGCCATGCTAAATTGTCCATAGTGTTCAGGGATTTGTAGATCAGGTGGGTTATAGGGGAATGGGTCTGGGTGGGATGTCCGAGTGTTGGTGTGGACTTGCTGGGCCGAAGGGCCTGTTTCCACACTAGGGGTTCTGAGTCATGAACTGCAGGTTCACGGTTCCTTGAAAGTGGAGTCACAGATTGACAGATAGTGAAGAAGGTATTTGGTACGCTTGCCTTTATTGGTCAGTGCACTGAGTATATCAGTTGAGAGGTCATGTTGCAGCTGTACAGGATGTTGGTTAGGACACTTTTGGAATACTGTGTTGAATTCTGATCTTCCTGGTATAGGAAAGATTTTGTGAAACTTGGAAGGGTTCAGAAAAGATTTACAAGGATGTTGCCAGGGTTGGAGAGTTTGAGCTATAGGGAGAGGCTGAATAGTCTCTGAGGTTATTTTCCTTGGCGTGTGAGAGGCTGAGGGGTGACCTTATAGAAGTTTATAAAATGATGAGGGGCAAGGATAGGGTGAATAGGTCTTTTCCCTGGGGTGGGGGAGTCCAAAACTAGAGGGCATAGGTTTAAGGTGAGAGGGGAAAGATTTAAAAGGGACCTAAGGGGCAACTTTTTCACACCAGAGGGTGGTGCATGTATGGAATGAGCTGCCAGGAGGAAGTAGTGGAGGGTGGTACAGTTACACATTTGAAAGGCGTCTGGATGGGTATATGAATAGGAAGGGTTAAGGGGGATATGGGCTAGATGCTGGAAAATGGGACTACGTTAATTTCGGGTATCTGGTTGGCATGGGTGAATTGGACTGAAGGGTCTGTTTCCGTGCTGTACATCTGACTCTTTGTCTACCTCTATGTAGGTGGAGTCTTCCAATAAGAGGAAGCAGCCTGTACTGGCCATGAAAATCCAAAGGCCAAATAGTGCTCATTATTCTGTCTTTGAATAATTCTTGCTTTTTTTTTTATTTAGGTCCAAATGTTTCGTCGACAGAGTCAGCTCTTCTGACAACACACATTTTATTTCCAAGAACTGTATTCTGATACTTAGATCACTGCTTAATTTCTAAAAATTCCAACATACTCACCTTAAAATCCATGCAAATGTGGACACGTGTCCAGGCAGGCAGATTAGTTCAATAGTTGGCCAACAACTGCGAGTATTTGGGTCAATGCATGCAAGTAGGCTGCATAATGAGTGGATTTCCCCAGCTTCTGTGCATGTGCATGTGCAGTGACAGATATCCACACAAAGCAATACTGCCACCTGAGAGTTTCATGTCTCACTGTGTGCTGCAGCACACAGGTTGAAAAGTGTGACTGCTAAGATTTGTAAATGTTATGATACACATAAAGACAGAAAAATTGTTTTAAATTGCAGAACAGAACTTTTTACTTTTAACACTACCAAAAGCTCCACTTCTCAGGCATATTGTATACTGTGCTTTTAGTAGCTGTTTAATTTTCCCAGTTCCTGCTCAGTGATATTTGGCTTCCAAGGATTTACAACGGTTTCATTCTATTCGTTTTCTGTCCCAGTCTGGTAACTTGAGAGGCTTTCCTGGCATTCCTCCCTCTAGTGTATGCTGGGCAAATTTTTGAGCTTCATTTCAGGGATATCTTAGAAACCTTTCCCTCTTAAAATCCATCCCCACGGTTCTGTCATATTGGTCAACTAAACTGCTTTCACCTTTTTCATTACATTCTTGCAATGTGGTGTAACGCAGATAAAGATAATGAGAGTTGTAATATCCTCAATGGTAGCTCAAGATCAGGATATCAAATAGGTAATTAAAATGTGTACTTACTCGGATTAATCGGATGGTCACTTTATCTGATTGCAAAGGTTAATATTTTCGTATATGTATTGATGGATAATGAGCTGAGCCTTTTATTGGATACACCAGCTGGTTGCATTTGAAGACTAGTGATTGGTTTAATGGATATTCCTTACGGCCAGCAAGCTTTCAGGGTCCATTAAACTTGCTGTCCTGACAGCCATGGCATGCTGGGATGCGATATTGAAGTTGTACTTGTTCTAACACACGTTCAGCGTCTTATAGCCAGCCTCTGTGGCAACGCCACCACTTCTGCCTCGTATACAGTAGAACGACTGATTAATTAGCTATCATTAAGGAACAAGCTCTTTTATCTCAGAATTAAACAGTTTAAATCATAGCTGTTTACAACCTGACATTGTTGACATCTTCCTAGGACCTTGTAGACTAATGGTCTGACCATTGCAAACGCCAGTGCTAGTTTAATTGTCTCCAGTCATTACCTCATTCCTTCTTCCCAGGAAAATAGCCTGGTCCTCCGTTAATCTGTGACAGGCCCCTAAAACAGGTATCTAGCCAGGCAGACATCAGAACAGATGACATGATCCCTATGAGATCAACATCTCTGCAATGCAGCTATTTTACAGTAAAATTGACTGTATATTTAAATTGTAAATGAGGAATAGTGGCAATCCGAGTTGACTCCCAAGTTCTAATTGCAGTATGACAGTGCCTTAAAAGCTACGCCTTTCAGGTTAATTCTAAATACAAAAAAAATCAACAATATTACCTATTATGTTGGTATGCGAAATGTTGTCATGATTTATTCTGTGGTGGTGCTGCACACAGATTAGAAATGAATATAGTTTATCTGATGATGAGCACAGAACTCCATTAGTACTTGTAGATGAATCATTGTGATGGGCAGCAGAAAATGGCTTGTCGCCACATCAAAACCAGCTGATATTAGTGTAGGTTATGTATTTTGCAGTGAACATCCTGACATGGTGTGGAGGGAGCTGTTAAGTCAAATTGATGCTCTTACTGTTACTTCCATAGAATCCTTACAGGATAAAAAGGGGACATTTAGCCTAGCAAATCTGCACTGACCCTCTAAAAGAGCATCCCACCTAGAACCAGAACTCTGCCTGTAGTGCGGTAATACAGTAGCTTTATATTTTTGAACTGGTTGTATTATGGTTACTTATTTGATGGATACATTATCTCAAGTTCACAAATGGTTGTTTTGTATAACCTTAACAAACAAACTGATGTTTCAGGAAGGAAAGAGGAACACTAATTTTTTCAATTTTTTTTTGTCAGATGTTGTTATTTCTGTATTGAGTTTGCTTTGCTTGTAATTCATAGGTCATGGGACGGCCTGGTTTCAGCATTTCTGATAAAAAGGTGAAAAGGGGACGCATTGGCTCAAAACACAAGATTTCCAAGGAAGAATCAATGAGGTGGTTTCAGCAAAAAGTAAGCAGTCTCTCACGTTTGGCTGTTTCTTGTTTCCATCGTCTTTATTCATTATATAGCAAATACAAATAAATTTGAAGTTGTGTCAAGATGTTTCTATACTGTCAGCCTCCATCTTCATGTTGCTTGAAATATTTAGCTTTCCAAGAAGATTGCAGAATAACTACATTGGTATAGCTGGAAATAATGGAAGATTTACAAGTTTTACACCAATAATTCCTGATCAACAATGTTTTGACTATCAGGTGGCATCCTGTCTTTTTTCTTGTCCTCCTACCCACAAATAATGAGTCAGCAAAAATATATTGCTGATTAAATAGTACATGATGCAGAATACAACTGTCGCAGATAAATTTTGAATATTTACAATTTGAGCTGCTGGAGGTAAAACGTGTTTTATCAGAGCTTTTCCTTGCACACATCAGGAAAATTCATAAGATGAAGGGAAAGCAATATTTTATACTGCATGAGAAGAGATTGGATGCATTACCAATCAGTCCACGTGTCAGCAAATTAGCACTTTTTCCTGTACAGTCTAAAATGTGTTTTCCATTCTAGTTGGTATTTCTTGCAAATTGTCCTGATGAGTGCAAGACAAAAAGCTTTGACAAAATATATCTTTCACAGCAGTACTCAAATTCTGTACTACCAAAAAACTATGGTTTTATTTCTTTCAAGAAAACCCACCCCTCCCCTACTAAGATCCTAATGGAATTTCTCTTTCAAGAGAAAATCCAGAATTGGAACTTAAGAGCTACATGTGTGAATGGCTGTAGGTATCGTAACTTAGTATTACTACTATTACTGTAGTTTGACTAATATAAACTGCACTGTTGTAAAGGAGGGTCCCAACCTGAAATGCCAACTTTCCTGCATCTCTGATGCTGCCTGGCCTGCTGAGTTCCTCCAGCTCCACACTGTTATCTCTGACTCCAGCATCTTCAGTTCTTGCTATCTCCGAGTATAACCTCCAGTGTGTTGCTTTTCTAGCGTGGTGTCATTGATGCTTGAAGATTCCAGCTGTTTGGTCAGATTTGTCACAGAAATTACTTGCATTCCCTAAATGGATTGGTGAATGGATCATGCCTTTTATGTTAATCCAAATCATCACCCTGACATTCTGGCTGGTGTTAAGTGTTAAAGCTTCAAACATTGGCACTGATCAATAAACAGTAGCCAGAGACTGCATACAGACATGATGGGCATTAATGAAGTTTTCTAAAACCAATCTGGGGCACACTTTTATATTTAGAATTTGGTAAAGTAATAATAAGAGCTTATGAATCAGCTGTGGATGAAACTTAAAAATCAAGTACTTTTTAACTTATCCACTTGTGATTGGGAACTCAGCTGGCATCATTCCTATTTTTGTCTAATATAACAATGTCTTCAGGTGTTGTTTGTGCTGAATGTTTTCACGTGCAGCTCAAATACCAATGTGATAAAATATACTGGAAGAGCTCTGACTTCACTTGCAGTGTCTAAAATGATGCCATGCATCCTTCAGACTTGTAAATAATTACATTAACAATAGCACTTTGAAACTGAACCAGAGATGTGGCATATTATGCAGAGACGATATTTTGAGGATGCATATAAATCAGTTTGGCAAAGATACTGCTGACTAGTGCACTCTCTTTGGTTAATTTTTGATTTCTTTGTTTTTCAGTATGATGGCATCCTCCTGCCTGGAAAGTAATTTGAAGAGCAGATGAAAAAGCAATAAAATCCATTTATAACAGTACTGATGTCAAGAGTTTCTTTTCTTGAAGAAAAAGTTTGTGATAATGTTTCAATTTTTGTTTAAAACTGCTCAATGAAATTACCTGCTACAAGAAAACACGTGATTAAGTTACAGAATGCTCCCTTAACCAGAAATTCTGGATACTTGTGCAGTCTTTATTGGCTCGTTAGATCAAGGGAATTTGACATGGAAAGATTCTGTGATATGGATCAGTCAGATACATGGATAATTGTTTGAGGTGTGGCCAAATACATTTACAGTTGTGCATTCTGGAAAAAAACTACCATGAAATTTGAAGAAAACTGGATTCCATTTAACCCATCTTACACTTCAGAAATGTTAATATTACCATGCTGCTTTGACTTGGGTGTGTTTTTTAAAATGAACTGCAGTAATACAAAATCCCAAAAGTAGAGTGCAGCCTACTTGCAAAATATTTTTACAAATGTCTAATCATTCATAGAAGTTAACCCATTACAGAAAGGTCATCTGTAGTTCGGTCTAATATAGCATTTTTTCAACACGTTCACTATCCATTAATTGTATCTTTCTTCTGTTGCAGAGTTGAAGTTGAGAATCTGTGTAGCTTCGAATAGGTCACTTGCTATCTGAATGTAAAAGCCTTACACATGAGCCATAGCTTTTGGAACATCAGTACCTCATGCATATCACTATAACAATGAAGTTTCAGTAGTATTCCAAAGAACGTGGTTACATCAGGTTAGAAATTACACTCCATGGTGTTAGGAAACCTTTGCTTCACCTGTTTGATCTCTAGTATTGTCTCAAATTTGTACTTGCCTGCTCTTATTCAGTATATGCTAATTCCTCCATCCAACCACTGATTTGCCTTTTTAAAAGGTTTTCAGTATAAAACAACCTTGTATTTCTATAGTGTATTTGAAATAAAACATTCTATGGTGCTTTATGGGATTATACTATGAACCATCACACCAACATGAAGTAGTCGGGTAGATTATCAAAAGTTTGGCCACAGAGGTAGGTTTTAGGAGGAGTCTGAAAGGAGAAAAGCAAAATAGAGAGCTCTATGAAGGGAATTCCAAGCCGTGAAGACCCAGGCAACTAAAGGCACAGGCAAAATTGTGGATTGGTTAAATTTGTGAATGTTCACGAGGCCAAAATTTTAGCAGGCAGATTTGTAGATAAGGATGAGAACATTAAAATCAAGTTACTGTTCATCAGGAGACAATGTAGGTTAGGCAGCAGGGTTCCAGGTGATGCTAAAGTTTACGGAGAGTATAATGTTGGAAGTTAGCCAGAAGTGCATTAAAATAGTCTTTAAGTCTAGAGGTAATAAAGATATGGATGAGTGTTTGAGCATGAGAGCTCGGGTAGGGCTGCAAGTAGGCATTTTTAGTGACAGCATGGATATGTGGTTGAAAACTCCCCTATGGATCAGATATAACACAAATTTAAAACTGGTTTGTACTGGGACAGTTACCAGGGGAAGTTGGTAGTTAACAAACATAAGTTTATGAAAGGGTGAAATGCAATTACTTAAGATTAATACTTAGTTGAAGGAAATTCCTGCCCACCCAATTCTAAATGTCTGATGAGCAGTCTTGAAGAACATGAGAATTGGTGAGGGTAAAGTCATGGATGTGAAAACTGACATTTTTGTATGAACAAGCAAATAGTGTTGAAGTGGCTGCAATTTTAAATTCAAATTTGATACTTTTAAATAATCTACTCTTTCAAGCTTGACACCAACCACAACAAAGCTGGAATCTGGAATCTGGCATCACATCTACTAATGAAAACATTCACCGCTTCCAGCAGCAAGTCCTGTCTGCCCTATATACCATCTGAAAGGTGATGTAACTGCATTCGCAATTTCAAACTTCTGCTATCTACCACCTACAACAGCACAATTTGTAAGTTGCTTCTAAACCACACACCATTTTGATTCGGAACTATAATCATAGTCCCTTCACTTTTACTGAGTCAAAACCTAGACTCTAACATCAGAAATGGTGTCCCCACTGAGGACTTATAACTGTTATTGTATAAGCCGCATACTGTTGGTTTGTTTTGCCAATATTAAAGTAAAATTTTCATTGCCCATACAGGTGCAAGTTTTTGTTGAAGAGCAGCACCCTGCAAAAATCTTTAAGGTTTCAATGACATTTAATTACTTTGATATTGATCAGACAGTAAGCAGCCACACATGCAGTGATCTTGGGTGAGGATGAGAGAAATAACTCCAAATGTGGAAAACTGATGTGCACAGTGAAGTCCAGACACCTAATCCAATCAGTTTAACCTGAGTTGTGAGAAAGCTTTGAGAATCAATACTTAAGAATGAAATTAATAGTTGGACACATAGATTAATCTAAGGAAAGCCAGCATAGCTTAGTCATAGGAGACAGTGTAGTGGTGGAAGGATGCTTTTCAGAATGGAGGGCTGAGACTAGTGGTGTTCCATCAGTGTTGGGACCTCTGCTGTTTGTGGTCTACGTAAATGATTTGGAGGAAAATGTAGTAATCTAATTAGTAAGTTTGAGGATGGTACAAAGTTTAATGGAGTCTTGTATAGTGAGGAAGACTCATAGGATGGAGCAGGATATAGATCAGTTGGAGGCATAGGCAGAAAAGTGGCAGATGGAGTTTAATATGGGAAAAATGTGAGGTAGTGTATTTTGGAAGTTCTAATCCAGATGGAAAATATACAGTAAATGGCAGAACTCTTACGAATACTGATAGGCAGAGGGACCTGGGTACACAACTCACTGAGTGGCAACGCAGGTGGAGAAGGTAGTCAACAAGGCATACGTCATGCTTGCCTTCATTGGCTGGGGCATTGAGTTTAAAAATTGGCAAGTAATGTTGCAGCTTTACAGAACCTTGGGCTGCATTTGGAATAATGTCTTCAATTCTGGTCGCCACACTACCAGAAGGAAGCAGTGGCTTTGGAGAGGGTACAGAAAAGATTTATCAGGATGTTCTGAGGAAGGGTCACCGGACCCGAAATGTTAACTGACTTTTTCTTCAAATGCTGCCAAACCTGCTGAGCTTTTCCAGCAACTTCTGTTTTTGTTACTGATTTTACAGCATCCGCAGTTCTTGTGTTTTTTTTCTTTTTTTTTAATTCAGTTTTTACCTGGTGTGGAGGGCATTTGCTATGAGAAGTTGGAGAAACTTGGGTTGTTCTCACTGGAATGATGGAGGTAGAGGGGGGACCTGTTAAAGGTCTACAAGGTTATGAAGGGCACAGACAGAGTGGACAGTCAGGCTTTTTTCCCAGGGTGGAAGAGTCAGATACTCGGGGGCATAGGTTTAAGGTGTGAGGAGCAAGGTTTAAAGTTGATGTAGAGGCAAGGTTTTTTTTTTTACAGTGTGTGTTGGGGCCTGGATATGATAGTGACTTTTAAAGGGTGTCTTGACAAATACATGAATAGGATGGGAATAGAGGGATACGGTCCCTGGCAGGGTAGGGGATTTTAGTTGTGATGGGCAGCATGTCGGTGCAGGCTTGGAGGGCCGAAGGATCTGTTCCTGTGCTGTAATTTTCTTTGTTCTTTGTAAATGTGAGGTGATGCATTTTGGAAGGTCAAGTACAGGTGGAAATTTATACAGTGAATGGCAGAACCCTTAGGTGCATTAATATGCAGAGGAATCTAGGTGTGCAGGTCCACAGATCACTGGCATGTGGGAGGTGGTTTAGCTATAAACAAAAGTTGGATAGATTGGGTTTGTTTTCACTGGAAAGCAGGACGTTGAGGGGTGATCTGATCGAAGTTTATAAGATTGTGAATGGCATGGATACAGTGGAATGAATGAGGCTTTTCCCCCAAGGTGGAAGGGTCAATTACTAGGGGACACAGTTCAAAGTGTGAGGCAAGCTTTTCACACAAAGGGTGGTGAGTGCCTGGAACATGCTGCCAGAGGATGTGGTGAAAGTACATACAACAACATTCAACAGCATGAATAGGAAGGGAATAGAGGGATATGGATCCTGTAAGTGAAGACAGTTTTAGTATGGAAGTGCAAAATGTGGCAGGGCAGGCTTGGAGAGCTGAAGGGCCTGTTTCAGTGCTGTTTTGTTTTTTTTCTTATTAACTCTCAAAGGTAATTTGTGTAATTAAAGCAAATTTCTGGAGAAATTAGTTGCGTAATTGGTTTGATTAGTTTTTTTAAGATGGCTGACGAGGTTGAGAAAGATGATAAGTCGATGTAAATATGGATTTCCAAAAAGCCTTTGATAAAATGCCACCAGACAGATTTATTAGCAAAGCTGAAGCCCATAGAATAGAAAATAATTGCAAAATGGATCCAAATGACAAACAGTAGTGGTGAACAGTCCTCTCTCAATGGAGGAAGGTGGAAGTAGGGATCTGTACTGAGACCACTGTTGTTGACAACCTCAGCTGATGGATAGGCAACGCACTGCATTTATGTAACTGTTTTACATCTCACTGAAGAGATCTGATTTTTTTGTACTAAATTCTTTAGCCTCATGAATGCAGAGGCATCATGCATGCTACCCATTGAGCACAGCTGACATACTTAGCATGCCATTTTTTGTTTCAGCTTTCCAGCATCCCCAAAATTTTGCTTTCTCTTTGATGAACAATCTATTATTTCAAAATTGTAAGTCATTGAGATGTACAGCATGGAAACAGACTTTTTGGTCCAACTCCACGTCAAATATATCCTGAATAAATCTAGTCCCATTTGCCAGCATTTGGCCTATATCTCTCTAAATCCTTCCTATTCATGTACTCATCCAGATGCCTTTTAAATGTTGTAATTGTACCAGCCTCCACCACTTCCTCTGGCAGCTCATTCCATACATGCACCATCCTCTGCACGAAAAAGTTGCCCCCTTAGGTCCCTTTTAAATCTTTCTCCTTTCACCTTAAACCTATGCCCTCTAGTTTTGGACGACCACCACAAGGTCACCCCTCAGCCTCCAACACTCCAGGGAAAATAGCCCCAGCCGATTCAGCCTCTCCCTCTAGCTCAACGCCTCCAACCCT